AATTTGATGGCAACCCTTATTCACTATACTGTAACTCATGATATAGAAAGTAAAGCCCATTTATGATGTTGGTCTTATCTTCTCATTAAAATCATAAGCATGAAGCTTCTTTATACCTGCATAAAATAAGCAGTTTAATTTCTCTGCACCAGGGGAAAATTATTTCCTTGCCTCTTACGTAGCCCAGAGGTACAGGGTATGAAGCATTAAGACTGGTTATGGAAGACTCATTCTTACCCAGTCTGTGTGTCCTCTTAAACCTTCATGGGGTGTGAGTGTGTGTTCTGAGGCTTTCTTATAGACACAGGGGGTCTATTTGTCATTCCTGCCGCCCCTTCACATTACCATGGGGAGAAGAAGTAATTCTGTTTAGGAAAAACCCATCTTTGCTCTGGATTATTCACCCATGAATGAAGCAAGAATATTACACTTGATTCATTTTTTTAAAATTTTGCTGATAACCAGTAATAACATATTTCAGTGAATCTAAAGCAAATATTTGAGGGGAAAAAATTGCAAGCTTGTCTTATAAGCTGTAAAGAAATAAAAGATGGAAAGCAGTATGAATCTTAGCCATTAAAAAGTTTACTTTGTAATATTAATATGTGCTATGGGCAACATTTCAAAAACTCTACTGTTGGATATTTTTATTTTGTAATAGCTGACAATCCTTTTTGGCTTTACCTTTATAGCTTGGGCTGCATGATTCAGACCACGTGACAGAAGCAGCTCCTATAATTGGCTATAGTGCACCTGATGACAGCACAGATATTGAGAGGAAATCAGCCCATTTGTTTCTTAATCCATTCAGGAAACTTTAGGAACTCAAAGAAGTTGGATGAAGCTCGATAATAAAATGATAAAGGTTATGTTGATGATAAAACTCAGAGAAATGAACAGGGTAGAGCCGGGTAGGCTCTGTTAGGGGTTACGTGTTTATTTAGGAGATGTGTAGGAAGGGAAGGCTGGACAGGCTCCTCCTGTGCAGTGAAGACCCACTGGAGGGTCACCTGTGGGTCAGTTCCAGCTTGAAGGCACACAACAACAACACAGGAAGATAGGGAGCTCCGGTGGCTTAGTGGCAAGGAGCTGTGTTGCAGTCTCAAAGGCACCCAGTTCCAATGCACAGTCTGCTCAGTGGAAGAAATATGAACATTCCTCCCTTGTAATTTATCGCCTCTGAAATCCCTCTGAAGGGTCAGCTTTGCATTGGTTCTGACTTGATGGCACACAATAACACCAATGTACGAAGATCAAGTACAAGTTATCGAAAGATAAGTAGGAGGATGTCAGAATTTGATTTGTTTCATTGTTCCAGCCACCCTGTATAAGGTGGACCACAGAGTACAAGGCTAACCTGGTGACAGTGTTTAGGAAGGGTATTCAGTAGTACAGTAGTAGGAATTGGGTATTGTGAGCTAAGGTCATCAAACAGAGAAGTAGAAAATGGGTTTGATTTTAGAGCTGATTAGGAGATAGAATACACAGGGCCCAGAGACAAATTTAATTTTAGGGGGTGAGTGAGAAAATAGAATCAAAGTTGAATCCCAGATGTACAGCTTCATATGACTATTGATGGGCACCTCCTCACCCACAGACTCACTACTGCTTATTGCTGTCCAGTTGGAATTGACTCCTAACTGACCCTCCAGCAGGTTGTTAAGGGGCTGGCCGTAAATGACAAAGGAGGCGTCTCTGATGACCAAGCAGTAAGAAGCTGCATTACTTCTCCAAAAGTAACTACTATCCCAGAGGTATGCAGTTTGAATCTACCAGCTGTGCAGTCTCTTCCCATGTGATTAACTGCCTCTGGAAGCCTGCTGGAGAGTCAGCTGGGAATGGGTTCTGATTCAAAGGCACATAACAACAAAAAACAAATGACACACGAGGAGCTTGTGCCCCTTTCTCTTACGGAGAAGCTGTTGGATCCTAACTGCCTGCATTTGGGTTGGCACTGATATTCCTTACCCAGTAGGTCCTAGAGCTCCCTTCAGAAATACCAGGGGAGGAATATGGCTGGTATCACACACCCTTTGAGGCATCTTGAGGCCAAGATATCTGGAAGAGTCATAATGGCATCTGAGTTTTTTATGTCTGAAACTTAGAAGTGAAGACATCTGAAAATTAGTGAATTGTCTTCAAAATGATACTAATTGAAAAATTGAGTATTAAAGAAGTCACTGAGGAATACCGCATTGAGAAGAGAAGGTTAACAGAGGGTTGAGGGATGACCGTGTTTTAAAGTATAACTGTAGAAAGTTGAGCATCTAAGAGAGAAGATAAAGGAAATCAGAAAGCTGTGGTGGTCTGCAAGCACCTGGAATAGAATACTTAAGAAGATGGAATTGTCAGGGGTGTTGGAAGTTAGAGAAAATCTTAGTAAAGGTTTGTAACACTAAGTGTCCATTGCGTTTAAATATTAGAGAGTTTGTTTATCTGCTGTAGACCAGTGTTATTGGTGCACTTTGACACAGTGATTGCATCCATGGGCTCGCATATGTCAGAGATTGTGAGGATGCACAGGATGGGACAAGGTTCAGGTCGCTGTGAGTCACACTCAGCTCCCTGGCAACAACAAGAGGTAGAAACCAGATTGCAGTGTGCTGTAAAGTGCCAACGGGCAGAACAGTCATCCTAAATGTCACTTTACAAGAACATACATCATCCCACATGCTCAAAGCCGTCTCAGGCTTTACAAAAATGAAGATAATTATGGAGGAAATTGAGACCTTTAAAGATGAAGTATGGAACTCGGGTGACTTAGTGATAATGACTTGTGCTGCCAATCCGCAGTCACACAGTTCAAATCCACTAGCTGCCGTCTCCTTCTGTGTGATTTACTGCTGCTGAAAACCCGCCGAAGGGTCAGCTATGAGTCAGTTCTGACCCAATGGCACATAACAACCACAAAGATTATGTAAAAGATCATACATGTTACATGTAGGGGAAAGGGTGAGTTGTCACCTATAAGAAGGATCGAAGGCTTTGAGCTGTGGTGCTGGAGAAGAGTGTTGAACATACTGTGAACTACCAGGAGAACAAACAGGTCTGTCCTGGAGAGGGTAAAACCAAGTTGTTCCCTGGAAGCAAGGATTTTGAAGCTGTGTCTCACATGCTTTGAGCACGTGGTCAGCAAAGACCAGGCCTTGGAGAGGGGCATCATGCTTGGAAGGGTGGAAGGACAGAGCAGGGGGGAAAGACTCAGGAGGAGATGGATTGACTCAGTGACTAGAGCAATGGGATTAGGTCTGTCGGAAACAGTGAGATTGGCTCAGGATTCAGAGCTAATACACATAGGGTGGCTATGAGTCGCAGGCAACTCAGTGGCACATACCAACACAAGAGTCACCTCCTGTAAAGGTCTGTAACCTTGGAAACCTAATGAAGAACCACTGTTTGTTGAAATTTACTTAATAGCAGGAAGTTTGTATTTTGGTTTAAGGCTTAAATCGTGTTCTTAAGTGGATATAACATGAATGACTAAGTGGGGAAATTTGTACTTGGCTTATTTTATTCTAAAATCTTGTCACTAGGCCATCTCACCGATTTGGTAGAGAAGTGACAGACCTTGTTGGGCAGCAGTATTTAGAGTTCCTTGCTTTGAATAGCACTAGAGCGATTGGCTGCTGATGAGCTGATGCCAATTCATAGTGACCTTATAGAACAGAGTGGAATTTTTCCATTGGGTTGTCAAGGCTGCAGATTACATGGGAGGAGATTACCCGGCTTTCTCTCACAGAGCAGTTGGTGGATTCGAACTCCGTGCCTTTTTTGCGTTGGCAGCACAACTCCTTACCATTACAGAAACCTCACTGCCTTTGAGTAAATCAGCACTCTGGTGGTCCTCCATCGGGGCTGCTTTTCTGAGGCTGTAAATCTTTATGAGAGGAGAATTCCCATCCTTCTAACAAGGAGTGCCTCATCAACTGTTAGGTTTTCAGTTAGTAACCCATCACTAGCACAGCGGGCCACAGGTCTCCTTATTAGAGCAAAGGGAACATAATACCGCTTAAATGAATGAAACAATTCAGAAGGAATAAAACGTAATTGGATAGCAGGGATAGTCTTCTGAAGTTTAAAGAGCAATTTTATGATTAAAGGGATGTAAGGGATTACACACACATACACACACACACACAAAGAGACACATGGTGTGTGTGGGAGAGAGAGTGAGTGTGTGGGGGAGAGCGCACTCACACCATAGGGAACTGTGGTGGTCTAGTGCATAGACTTATGCTGCCAACTCAAAGGTAGGTGGATTCAAATCTACCATTTGCTTCTTGAGAGAAAGATGGGTCATCTCCTCATATATGATTTCCAGCTTCTACAAACCCACTGAAGAGTCAACTATGAGTCAGTTCTGACTTCATGGTACTAGCAGAGAAGGAGAATGGAGAAGCAGAGGCAGCCAGACAGAGAGCTGTCAGGAAGAAGGGTCATGAGAAAAAGAACAAACAGCTATGTCTTGGAGAAGGTGCAGCCAGAGTGCTCCATAGAGGCAAAGATGATAAAGCTTTTTCTCGTAAGCTTTAGGCTTGTTGCTAAGAGAGACTGTTCCTTGGAGATGAACATCATGCTTGGAAAGGTGGCGGGTCAATGAAAGAGAGGACGACCCTTAACCAGATGAATTGACACAGTGACTGCAGCAGTGGGCTCAAGGGTGTCAGAGATGGTGAGGATGGCACAGGATAGGACAGGGCTCAGATCTGTTGTTCGTTGGGTCACTAGGAGTTGTACTCGACTCGATGGCTCCTAACAACGACATATAAAAAAGGTGGACATCAGAAGTAAAGCCTCCTTTCATATGCAAAGTTAGCCCTGCAGTTAATTAAGCTTAGTTCAAAAATGAAAGACTAAATCAGGAAGGAAATACAGTACTAGTATTTACTATAGAGGCCCAGAAGACCCTATGTGTACTTTGATACACAAACACAGTTGACTTTATGGCTCTGTTTTAATTTCCTGTATTTATTCTCACCACTAACTCTCTATTTTCTCAGATCATGCTTCTTAGTGACCCTGAACTGGAGAGCAGCATATTGATCAGCTCAGATGAAGGGGCGACCTATCAAAAGTATCGGCTCACCTTCTACATCCAGAGTTTGCTCTTCCATCCCAGGCAAGAAGACTGGGTGCTGGCCTACAGCCTCGACCAAAAGGTGAGCAATACGGCTTTCATTCATGTCTTGTCGCCCAAGTACCACGTGGTGAAAAGCGCTCATTCACTTAGAGGCAATTCAGTGATATTCCTTTGTCCCAACCAAGTTAATTTTGTCCGCAGTAACTCCCTTCCTACTTGGTAGCATCACGATACTCAAAAAGCAATCTTTCATTTACTGGAAGTGTGGTTTGCCACTTCACAGTTTTAAAGTGGTTTTCGAAATAAATCCACTCATTTAACTTTTAGAATAAAACCATCATGTGAGTTGGTTATATGTGATAGTAGCAATATCGCACAAGCTGTATCTCTTCTGTTGTTGTGTGCTGCTCAGTCGGAATTGACCAATAGCCTACCCTCCAACAGGTTTTCAGAGGCAGTAAATCACACCGGAAGAGACTGTCCATCCTTCTCCTGCAGAGCAGCTGGTTCTGGCACTTGGATTCAAACTGGGTGCCTTTGCGATTGCACCACAGCTTCTTATCACTAGGCCATCAGAGCTCTGCATCTCTAGTTTTGCCCAGTTGTCAGAGATTGTGAGGATGGCACAGATGCTTGTGTTGTATCTTTTTAAAAAGCCAGATGTCTATGTTGTGTCTTTAATCCTTCCCTGTTCCAATCCACCATTTATTACCCAGCAAAAAGTTTGTCTGTCTTATCTCTAAATGTCTCTTGATTCTGCTTGTATCCTGTTATTGCTGGCACAGCGGTAGGGTACCTGATTGCTAACCCAAACGTAAGTGGTTTGGAGCCAGCCACAGGCTTTTCCATGGGAGAAAAAAATCGGTGCTTTGGAAAGTATTGTGGAGGGTCCACTCTGCCATATTGAGCTCCTGGGGCTCAGAAGTGACAGCAGTGAATCTTTTAGTTCCCACCACCGCTCAAGCATAGGATACACAGTTCAAATCCACCAAATTCTCCGCTGGAGAAGGAGGGGCAATCTCCTCCTGTGCCAGTTGGATCCGACTTGATGGTACACAACAAGAAAAAAAATTGAAAAGAAAACTCCAAAAAAATCAAAGGTTACACTTAACTCTAGAGATTCCTTTTGTGTATTCTTCACTTTATAATCTGAATTATCTTTTCCCAAATGTACATTTTATGATTTCATCCCTTTGCTTAAAGCTTTTCATTGTTAAAGAATGAAAGAGTGTCTTCATTGTTAAAGAGTCAAGCCAAAGTCCTCCAAAGGATCTCCCAGCTCTTGACCCTTGGGTAGCCCTTCTCTTGAATGGTCTTCTTTCAGGCCTTTGCCCTCCTCAGCTGTCCCTTCCTCCTTGGCCAGTGCCTGGAATTTCCTTCCTGCACCTCTCTGCCAAGTACATACCTCACAGTACCTACTCTGAAATGAAGTCAGGTTGCCTTCCTTGATCTTCCTGATACGTCACCCCTCCCCAGTGTCCTCACTTGCACACATTCTGTCCCTTCCTCCCTCACTCCATCTCCCTCTCGTTCCCTCCTCCTCCATCTTCCTCCCTCCCCCTCCCTCCCTCTCCCTTTCGGCCTCCTTCCCTCCCTCTCTTTCTCCCTCTCAGTCTCCCTCTACTTTCCTCCCTCCTTCCCTCCCCTTCTCCCTCTCCCTCCCTTCCTCCTCTCCCTTTCCCTAATCCTCTCCCTCCCTCTCTCTCCCTCCCTCTCTTTTCCCTTTCTGTCTCCCTCTACCTCCCTCCCTCTCTCCCTCCCTCTCTCTCACCCTCTCCATCTCCCTCTACCTTCCTTCCTCTCCTTCTCTCTCCCTCCCTCCCTACCTCTCCCTCTCCTTCCCTCCTCCTCCATCTCTGTCTCCCTCCTCCTCTCTCCCTCCCTCCTCCTCTCTCCCTCCCTCTCTCCCTCTCTGTCTCCTTCCCTCCCTCTCCTTCTCCCACTACTTTCCTCCCTCCTTCCTCTCCCTCTCCCCTTCCACTCCCCCTCTCCGTCTCCCTCACCCTCTATCTCTATCCCTCCCTCCCTCTCTCCTTCCCTCCCCCCCCTCTGTCTCATCTGCTGTCTGCCTTTCCTGAGCATGTGCCATATTTGAGAATTTACAGTGATTTGCATGTTTAAATCTCTTTGTAGGCTCTAAACTTTAGAAAGGCAGAAATTATTTTACTTACTTTTGAATCTAAAAAACCCAAACAACAAATACAACCTGGTATTACTCCCTTTTGTGACACCGATTCCTGTCAGAGTGCCTGCTGTTGAGTTGCTACCTGAGTGAATTAGTCAAGAAGTATGTGAAACTATAGCGTTGACTCCTTTATGTTTTATCGATTTACACCTAAGAAAAGAGATCTTAGAGGATTCGTCTTTGTATTTCCTGCTGTCACTTAAAACTAAGTACAAAGCTTGATGCCAGCCCATTATGTAATAATGCGCAATCAGTCAGGGAAAAGTGATAGATAATTACCAGTGTTGCATAGACATTACCATAGAATTAACTTTGGTTGAGGTAGCTTCTTCCCTTTGATTTCTCTCTTAAATCTTGAAATAGTTGCTGCTCGGTATATATATTTCAAAATGGGATTGTGTTTGTGAGCATGTGTGTGTGTGAATGTCTGTATGTATGTGCAGGTGATATGTCAGCACCTTTGAACAGTAATTTCAACATAACCTTTCTAGCTCTCATTAACAGAGCCTCATGGTAGGTACCAGGGGCTTAATGCAACCCCCTGAGGACACCCACATGGCATTTGCAGAGCAAAAGCCATTGCAAATACATTTCTTTCATGGCGTCAGGTGGATATTGTATGAAAGACTTAGCCAAATGTCAGGTAGTCAGTGATTTGAGATGCTTCATATAGTCAGAAATTTGGAAGTTGTGTTGAAAAAGGAAAGTTAAGTGAATGCTGTTAAATGGAAGAATTTATTTTGCTGGAACTTTGAACTCTAAACCTTGGTTTTACTTGGACCAGGGCAAGCTGGTTTGGGTACAGCATATATGTCAGTAAGTTGGCAAACCAAGTACAGTATGTCTTTTATCTCAAAGGAATAATCTCTTCCTTGTCCATCCCATTAAGAACATCCAGGGCATTGCTCATGAAATCCCCTAATGGGTATAAAACACAGAGACCATTTTTAGACTTTGTGACTGCTTTTTCTACTTTGTAAAAATATTTCAAAATGTGGCAATGCATGTTGATGGATTTTCCTAATCACACGGCACATTCTTAGATATATTATTCTTCAGGTACTTTTTCTTGTTGACATCTTTTGCTAAAGTGGCTGAATGTTCTTCGTGCCCATAAAGTTTCTAAGTGGTACCCGCTATTATTCTTTTAAACAAATGGCGTGAGGAGGCAGCTGGTGCCCCAGCAGCACATGTGTAGAGGGCATAAAACACCTAGCACCATTCATCTGAGTTGCAGAAGAGTTTTTCTTTATTTTGGGGTGCAATTTAGTGCCTTAGAGTCAGAGAGAGTGATGCTGTACCACAGCAGAGGATGCATGTGTAGTGGAGATTGATACACAAAATGTGTGCTTTTCGACTGGAGACTTCTCTGATGTGCATGCATCGAGGCAGCTGTTTTCTTCCCGAGAAAATGAAAAGTGCTGGTATTAAGCTAACTGCAGCATCAAAGGGGGATGTTTGTGGTGAAAAGTGAATCAATGTTTCCATTATTGTGCTTTTGATGAAATGCACTAGCAATTTCTTTAGAATTGGTAAGGCTCTCTCTTTATGTTTATGTATTACAAAAGACCTAATTGAATGATATTTTAAAGGGACAATATTCAATTACTTTACTCTCCAGACTGCTATCCTTGAGTTTCAGAAGGCTTGCTGGTAGATCTCATCTGGTAAAAGCATTGCTCAAAATATAAGGAAATGCCTACTATATAAAACAAAATTATAAAAGAAACTCCCCAAATCAGAATTCTATCTAGGAGTTGGAAGATCATGTGTTAGTTGAGAACCTGGAATGTGAGTTGAGAGTTAACTGGAAACATGGCCTCTTTACATTGGTTAAATGAAGATACACGAGGAAGATCATCTACATCTTCTAAGCTTCGAGGAGGAGGAGGGCGGATGTTGAGAATGAATTAACATTAAACTTGGAGCTCTGGTGGCCTAGGGGTAAGAAGCTGTACTGCAATCCCAAAGGCATGCAGTTCAAATCCACTAGCTCCTCTGTGAGAGAAGGATGGGCAGTCTCGTCCCATGTGATTAACTGCCGTGACTCAGTTGTACAACAGGATAACTACTAACCTAGTTAACATTAAACTTGACTCTTTTGGAAAACTGTGGCTCTGAAATCCTTGTGTAGCCCCATTTTCTACAATGTTTTCTTGTTCTGCTCAGCAGGACTTGGTCTTTTGTCCATCCCTTTTCATAGTGGCCATTTCATGAGCCTGTTTATTCATGTTCTAGCTCTTTCCCTGCCCTCGAGGTTCTCCTGTTATATCTGTTGCCTTTGATGAGCCGAATCAATTTGAAACAGTGCAGTTATGACTGATATAAACATCACACTCCCTGCACAACAACCCCTTCTCTCGCTTTAGATTTTAGGAAACAGACTTTGGTTTGCTTCACTCAAAGATGGTGGCTCACCTCACTGCTTGGCATGTGTGTAATTCTCCACAGTCCTCTCAATAATCTGGCCTCCTAGCTACTTTCTTTGGAACACCACTGTCTGTTTCTTACTCAGGACAAATCCACATATGCCAGGGATTTGTCTACTTTGCAGCACATATTCTGTCCTTTCCATTGGCCGGACTATACCTTTCAAACCAGTTCACAGCCCTGCATTTTAATACAAAAGAGCTAATACTTAGTGAAAACAAGAGCTTTGTCTTGGGTAGAAGCATTTTTGGAGTTGTTTTACAGAGAATCTTTGAAATACACACATATACATATACATATACATATACATATACATATACATATACATATACATACACATATACATGAAGCAGAGATGACAGGGTATAGTTATAATTGGTGGGAATAAAAGAAAAAGTGCTGTTCTCTCCTCATCTTGGAAACAAAACCCTATAACTATTTTTGGTAAAGTATCTATAACAATA